AACATGTAAACTCCACATTTTCTTTTGAATAGGCCTTATAAATTGACATAGAGCCATTCTACTTTAGAGAATAATTAAAATGTAACTGTAAGTAGATGTACAATTTTGAATGTGAAGCAGGCATCAATAGTAACTAACTATTGCAAATTAAAATGTGGGTACTTGGAAATAAAAATTATCTTGTATATCATGAACCACAATAGTGGTTCATAATAGGAATTGCACATTTGTTCTGTATTATTATTATTATTATTTAATATTGTCTTACCGACCTACAATAAAAAATGGCTGTGAGTATTGTAATAAAACCTGGGCAATATTACTAAATGCATCATTGTGCAGGGTACTTTCAAGTGTATTTGACTACCTAGCAAATAATAGCAGCTCTATAACTGTTGACAACCAATAATTTTTAATGTAGTTTGTGGTTTATAAGGAACCTCATAATCTAATATACATGTCGTGGATGTAATTTAATGTTTATATGGCAGGCATGACACATGTACCATAGTGATTATTAACTTATTGTTGCAACTGTATTGATGTCACAGATTAACAGTTCTTTAGTCTACGGCGTGATTGATTTGGGCCATGTTATACAAATGTGTAAAACATTATACAAATGTCTATGCTGTTTTCCACAACAGAAGTCTCTAAGCCATAGTTTAAAAGATAACACCAAGCTTGAGCATTGAATGAGCAATCACAATGATGGCTGTTGCTAAGTGTCAAATTATAGTCAATACTACAAGATTGAGAATTTTATAGATACTGCAGATAGAGTAGCTGTCCTATAAGTTAACTGTAAGGAGTGGCAAGAATTGTACAAGCAGGAAATGGTGAAAGTGAGACAGAAATTTTATAGCTATATATTTTATTTAGAAAATAGTTTCAGATAAAGTATGTAGCAATGACTGCCCACCACAGTTTGGGATCATCACAGTGGAAGAAGGTATCTACAATAATAATAATAATGTGTGTGTGTGTGTATGACCAACATAGCTCCATGAAGAAAGAATCTAGAAATCTGAAACTTTGCATCCATACTAAGTGGACCCTGAGGATGTGCACCTGCCTATCATCACTTATCCACATGTATGTGCGTGCACACCTTTTTATGAGGCAAGCTAACCAAAAACCATATAGAAAAGAAGTGTGACTGCCATAGCTCCAAGAGAAAAGAACCTAGAGACCTGAAATTTTGCACCCATACTAAGTGAACCCTGAGGGCGTGCACTTGGGCATTATCACATATCTGATCCATGTGTGTGTGTGCATGCACATGCACATCTTTTTAATGAGGGAAGGTAACGAAAAACCACATAGAAAGAAGTGGTTCCTTATATTACAAATAGAAATCGCAGACAGACACATACATGTGCATCTTTTTAATGAGTAATGTGGCAAGCTAGCAAAAAACCACAGAGAAAAAAAGTGGTTCCTTATATTACAAATAGAAATCAGAGACAGACAGACATGCTTTTTTATTACAGACATACAGCCATCAAAAATGATGAGGCAAGTACTACCACCCCATAGTATACCTTGTAGTATATTGGTTAGATTAATGACTTGTAATATATAGAAAAGCCAGTGCATTTTGGTAACAATGCATTCCAACAATGGCTTTTATGTCATGTTGCTTAGCAACAAAAGTATATCCTGATATTATTGTTAGTCTGTGTACTGAAAGTATAAAATGAAATGTATAAACTACATAATTGAAAAAATATTTGTTGATTTCTTAATTTACAGTCTCTGTTGATTAAATTCAGAAATGATTTAAGTTTAAAATTGGATTGATATTTTTACTTGCATGGTAAATTTTATGCATTTGGCTCTAGGCTAGGTTATCTCACGCTATGTCTTTACTTTAAGGTTGTATATTAATTTCTTTAAATTATACTAACATTCACTACACTTACAAGGTTTCACACAACCCCCTTCATGGCCCTTAAACACCCCTGTCACTAAAATCATAATGGGCAGATACTATACAAACTATTCTACCTTGATAAATGCATTTTGGCTTTTATTACTTCTCTTATTTTAAGAAATCAAGTGTGATGTGTCACACACTGGCTATAAGATAGGTTAGATAATGTGGAGTATAGTGGCATATGTAATTATCTATAATAATTTTGTTGTTATTGTACATTTATGCCAATTTTTATATTTCTGGGAAATATAAATATGTTTAAAATATTCTTGGCTGTTCTTCTATGCTAAAATAAGTTCAAAATACACACAATGACATAGTCATCTAGAATATATCAACCTAATAATGCAAGCAAAGTTGGATAATTTCACTAGTATTAATATAATCAATTCATAATTGTTAATTAACATGTTTTCAACCGTGTAGATTGTGCAGAATGTCACTTTAAGAGGAAATCTGGCAAGCTGCAGCAAAACCGTGAATGCCCTTACTATGGCCAGCACAAAGTAGGAAGAGTAAGGGGAAAATATAACAACTATAAGAAATATTTGTATACATTTGTTATTATATTATGACACACTGTCTAATATTTGCATTGAATCTACATGCATGCATCTATACAACAAGAAAATTTCATATAGCTATCTATATATATGGCTTTAGAATTTAGGAAATCTATAAAGCCTGCACGTATATAGATAGATATAAATACTGGCCAACATGCATTGCATGTGCATGCATGTATTATGTCATGAAGAAATTATTGTCATGTTTTGGAACACTTTCATTAACCACCCTGTAGCTACAAAGAATATCAAAGAAGTTTATGGATATGTTTTGAACGTTTGTAAGTGTCAACGATAGTTCAGCAAATTTTGTTCAGGTGACTTTAGCCTTAAAAATTGTGATGGCAGGGGCCGACATGTTGGAATTGATTTTGATGCTCTGAAGATGCTTGTTGAGTCTAACCCAGGGCAACACCCTCGTGAAATGGCCCTGAAGTTTCATGTCTCTCATGAAACAATACGTAAGCATCTAAAGAACATGGAAAAACTCCATAAAGAAGGTGTTTGGGTGCCTCACGAACTTTCTGATGATCATCATTTCCAATGTGTGAATGTTGCTTTGTCTCTTCTGGCGCATAATGCATGTGAACCATTTTTGGACAGAATTGTCACCAGTGAAGAAAAATGGATCCTATATGCGAATATTAAATGCCAAAAACAATGGCTTAGTCCTAGACAAAAACCACCAGATGGACTCCAAAATCTGGACTCCATCTGCAGAAAGTTATGCTTTGCATTTAGTGGGACATCAAAGGAGTAATTCATTTCGAACTCCTCAACCCACAGTGAACTGTCAATGCAGAGATCTATAGTCAGCAACTGGAACATTTAAATCAAGCCCTTCATCAGAAACGCCCTTCACTTGTCAATCAGAAAGTTGTTCTTCTTCTCCATGACAATGCATGTCCTCATGTGACACATTTGACGCAACACAAGATAATGGAGTTGGGTTGGGAAGTTCTCCCCCACCCACCATATTTTCCAGATATGGCACCATCAGATTACCATCTTTTTCGTTCACTGCAACACCATCTTAATGGGAAAACGTATGCAAATGTGAAAAGTGTTAAAGAGGACATCAACATATTTTTTGCTTCAGAGCCATATGATTTCTTTAATCATGGCATTAACAACCTGATTGTAAGGTGGAAAAGCATCATTGATAAGGATAGAGACTATTTCATTTAATAAGTGTTTTGTTTTGATATGTAAGTTGTTCGGATTTTTTTCATCTAAAGATTAATTTCTGGACGACCTAATATAAAACTCGTGTTGTTACAAAATTCAGTCCATGCGCCATTCCAGTATAGTTTAGTAGTCTCTTCAATTCAGTGTTTACAGAATCCCCATATAGCTACAGGGCATAAATATAGTAGCTATATACATTTTTTAAGCATATACAAAACATGTGGTATCACCAAGCATCACAGTGATCATACATGCAGTACCACTATCAATGATATCTGGAACAATAGCCATCGAATCTGCATGAAGCCAGTCTGAAGGTTGTCAATGTTTCTTGAGAGAGCATCATACACCATTTAAGTATTTCATTAAACTAAACTGTTTCAAATAGGACAGTATTGTTATTATACAGATTTATGTCCATGATGGGCAAAAAAAGCTAAAGAAACAAGATTATTAAAAATGTTAATTTAAAAAGTGGTAATAGGAACCTTCACCAAAAATCTGCAGAAACAAGATGGGTATCTTAAAGTGAAAATGCAATCACCAAAAAAAGTAAACAAGCAAGCTTAAGATTTGAGATGTAGTGTTGACATTATTTCCTCTTGGATGTTGCTGGCTGTAAAGAGGATGTTGCTGTTTACAAAATTATTTAGATCATTTTGTGAGTTGAGTGAATAAATGGCAGATGGGTTTTAATTATAGTAAATACAAGATAATGCAAGTGGGTTATCATAATTTAAATTATAAGTTTAATTTGGATGGGAATGACCTTAACAGGTTATTAAAGACAGGGATCTTGGTGTAGTAGTTGATCAGTCTCTTAAGCCATCCAAGCAGTGTGCTGTTGCTAGTGGTAGGGCAAATAGGAGTTTAGTTGTATCTACAGAAATATTGAATACAAGTCTAAAGATGGTTACAATTTCATTGTATAGATCACTGGTGAGGCTACATTTGGAGTATTATTTTCAGTCTTGGGCTGCTTACCTTAGAAAGGACATTGAATTGTTGGAAAGGGTTCTGAGGAGAGCTGCTAGAATGGAGCTTGGGATGGAGGGGTTTTCAGGAGAGGTTAAGATTTCTGAAATTGTTTTCTCTTGAAAAAAGAAGAGTTAGAGGGGATATTATTGAGGTGTTTAAGGTGTGGGGGACAGAAGATAGATCTGAAATGCTATTTACATGCCCTTGATTTTGAATCTCAAATGAATAAAAAAAGAACTAAAAAAAAGAACATTAACTTAAAAACTGTTATTGATTATGCATTACAAAGTTTTGTGTCATTTGTTTATATCTTTAATTTAAAAACGTAGGAAGAAGATGATTTGAAAATTTCCCTATCCATGAAAGTCGTTGACCAAGGTTCAGGAAATGATTTAGATCCAGCTGGAGTGCAAATAGCGTAAGATCTGCTTCATATAATTTCATCATCTTGACTGTTAAAGTAATTATTATGTGATAACCTCTACCTGAAGAGCTGTTAAAATTCTCCAGTGATAATTACAATTAATAATAATAAATAGTATTAATTATGGGTAATAGTAATTTTAAAACGTTTGTGTGACATCTCTGTCTTATCACTCTACTGAGTATTAGGAAGGTACTTGGATGCATTTCAAATATTCAAAGTTAACTGAAAGTGTATTCTATTCATATGATTATCTGCAGTAAAACTCATAACTTACACAGTGCTTTCTAACTTCTTGTGTATTATACAGTTTTTTTTAAGGACAAAAAACTAGTTTAAGTCCAATGATCCACAAGGAGCAATTAAGTTAATTTAGTCCTTTAAAAGGATCAGCAAAGATAATGTTTTCAGCTAAGAACTTATGTGGCTGGTTATACAAAATTGAAAAATAGTTATTAATCTTTGGGAAGAAATGGAGGAGGTATGGGGAGGTCCAGACTCTCTGGACCCTTCTCCTAGATCTGTGCCTGTTTTAATAACAATAAAAAATACAGTTATGCAATTATAAATTATGACCATAACACAATGTAAAAAAAACAGTAGCTTTACACTTAAACACTCGTGTAGTCAGAGAGTTAGTGGTGGGTTCTACCAGCCATTTGCTTTCCCTCTAACCAGCAGTTCAAAAGAAGTAACAGTGACAGATAGCCTTAGTAGCTTTGCTTAGTAGCAATGGGAATTGAACCCAAGACCCTCAAATAATGAAGCCATGCTGACTCAAAGCTGAACAAATTTGAAGTATAAAATTAATCTTATAATGGTAAAATCAGGTTTTGATATCTTCAGAGCACAGATACTCTATTATGTAGCTTTGTACTTAAAACAAATAAACATTATGGCAATATTTCAATTACTTGGATAGCTGGAATAATATAAATAATGATAATCAGAAACCCTAACTCTGATTAGTTGGTTATTTTTTTGACAGTCAATATAATCATAATTTTGATTAATCAACTGTTGGGATAATTTAAAAAGGTAATAATAAGAAACATCAATTTATTAGTTGATTATTTTCATGAAAATCAATTTAATTATAATTTTGATTAATCAGTTCATGGAATAATCTAAAACAGTAACTAACTGAAGTTAATTTGTTTGTTTATTTTATGGCAAAGCCACATTGGGCTATCTGCTGGATCCCACTCTGTGGCTAGTGTTGCCCAGGCAGGTGTGCTTTTTCTTTTCAATTCCACACTAGCAACCATTTTCACTATAATTACTACAGGATGCAACAGGCTCTGTTGAAATGGGGTGTTCCATAAGACCATCTAGGTGCCTACCAGATGGTATTACCTTATTATGGACTGCCACTCATGGACTATCATGAATAAAGCTAAAGGGGATTCTGCTTGTCTCTGCCAATCTTCAGGTTGAATAAATCGGGGTCAATTTGCTTTGAAAAATGTAGGGAACTTGGTTCCCTATTGCAGTTTCCAGAGCATTGTGCATTGTTCCTCAGGACCCCCCCCCCCCCAGACTCTACTGATGGATCTTGGGAGTCCTTACTACCACAGTTTCTAGTCACTGGGGTAGCAAACAGAGTCATTTCCTCCAGAGTGTTCAAGTGTGCTCCTCCACTCTTAGAGAAGTGGGTGAAGTTGGGTGCTCTCCTACTTTGGTACTTGGATGTTTTTCCCAGATGTAAGTAGGAGTGGCACCAGCCTCTGAGGAAGTTACTCGTAATTCCGGTTAAGATTTGACACAAAGCTATCCGGTTGGGGGTTGCATGGCCCTTCTCTTTGATCAATGTCAGTTTTGTATATCATTCATGGAAGGAGGTCCACTATCTCCTCATAGTTCCAAACACAAAGTGGTCCCATCCTAAGTCCTTGGTTGAGCACAGGTTCCATGTCCTCTCCATAATTCCAGGGTCAAGTAGAATACATCTTGCCCATTTGGTTGGGGAGTGAGGATGAATGTTCATAATTCCAGACTGGATGAGTTCTGTCTCTTTGGTTGAGTATGGCATACACGATCTTGTCATTCCGAGCCTGAGGTGTTGCCTTTTGGACTTCTTCAGGTGGAGGAGAAAGTTTGTCCACTTCAGTGTTGCTTACTTTCTCGTTGTGATTCCAGTGGAGCAAAACTTATCACTCTGTGGCTACAGGTTGGGATCCAATCAAAAGTATATATAACATTGCAGTCCAGTAGCCCTAGCCACCAATGTGGGATATAGGTACCACAACCTCTTAATTCCAACCCTGAGTTGTGGAACCTTGGCTCTCTGGGTGGGGCTGTCCTATACTGACAGTTACTCATATTCTATTCCACCTTTGATATAGGAACTGAATTCCTGGTGAAGATCATACCTGTTCTGGATGTTATGCAGTTCCCCCACTCTTGCACCATCTTTATCTTGGTACACTTCTGTTCTATACAGACACTTTCTGTATGGTTCATGCCTGCACTGGTCCCTCCACTTTCTCAGTTTGGGATTCTAGCTATATTGTCAGTGGACATATATATGTTTTGGAAGATAACATTTTCCTAAGCTGCAAATGTATTTCCAATAATACTTGCCTCTGCTGACACTCTCCCACTACCTCTCCACTAAATGCCAGTTTATGTCTTGAAAAAGTGAATATTTTATCTGAATGAGGTGCTTATGTACAGTACTTAAATAGAGGGTGCATTGAAGTTGGAGATATTTGCAAATTAGAATTTGCCAAGGGCATTTGAGTGGGGTAGAAAAGACTGGAGTAAGCATTTTCAATACTTAGATGGGTAAAGAGTGGAAACTCTGGAGATCAAGAAATAGCTATAGTGTCAATGGAGGTAAGTATTATTGGAAATACATTTTCAGTTTAGGAAAATGTTAACTTTTGTTAGGTTTAGAATGTTCTATTTTATATCTATGGAAATATTTCATATTATAAATTGGATATTTGAATTTTAAAAATTTCTGAGACTACATTATCAATACTTTGAATTAGGGCTAAGCTTTGATGTCAATTTTAAGACAAGATTTCAGATATAGATACTAAATTTCTTTTTTCATGTATATTTTTTATTTAATGTTATAAAAGTAACTAAGTTGTAAAAAATTAGTAAGTTATTGTAGGTAACTTTAAATGAAATAAAATACATGTGATCAATGATCAAACATGAACATGCTGGTAATTGGATCTGTTGTTCACAGAAAGCTGTCTGGTATATTAATTAGCTGTTACTGTTGTTTGAGAGGGTCAAAATTCAATTGGAAATGGAAAAAACTAAATGAAAGAATCTATTAGCTTAGGCTGTAAATATAAATAGTGTTTAATTGTCTGTTACAATGTGCAGACATTCTAGAATGCAAAAGGGTAACTTGGGTTTATTTTGTTTGCTTTTTTTTTTTATAGTAAGTAGAGATTGGTCAAATTGACCCAGTCTGTATAGTGTTAGGGTAGAGAAAGCAACAAATAAAATATAAAGTTGAACAGAAAAAGCAACAACTTTATTTAGGAGGTTCTAGAAGTTATACAATTGAAATTTGGAAACTGTAAGATGAAAAAAGCGATTTTTAATCTTAACAGTAAATTGGAGTCCGAGTCAAACTCTGACATTAATTGACAGATGAATCTTTAGTAAAAAATATGATTTTTGTACACAAAATACTTGAACTGTTAACTAAAAGCTTGATAAATTTTATGCATTAAAATTTATAGTATGTATACTTTCATGGTTATCTTTTGGTTATACAGTGGTTGCAAGGTCGGTCATTTTGACCAACACCATATTGATAGAGTTAATAGAAGTTGTTGTTGTTACTATTATAGTACATTCATTACCTTTAATTTGAGAAATTTTGTATGAGGAAAAAATGACCATAAACTCCAGAAGAAGTGTATATTTGTTTCACTAACATTAAATTTTTACAAATAAATACAAACTTATTCTGCAGTTTATAGTGTTTTTTTTTTTCATAGAAGATGTCTAAGTTACTCCAATCAACATTTAGTTGAATGATTTCAGAAATTTCAGTTAGATTTTTAAGTTATATTGAAATGTTTTAAAATTATTTTCTATGTTCTTTGGTACACACTTTTTATACCACTTTTATATTCAATTTTGGATATAAAACTAATTGGTAATTCACTATGATTGTGAGTTGGGTGATAACTCTGTTTCTGTTGATAGCTTTCTATAAAACCACAATTATGGTGTTAAATACTAGAAGCTGATGAGGCAGTTAAGTCATAATGGCATAATCTTTGTATTTTATAACAAGCAAAATTACCCCCCCCCCCAACCAGTGACATGAAAGTTTAAAAAAGTTAGTCTATAAATTTAAATTATTACATGGACTTAAAAAAGGGGTAATTGTGTTGCACTCTTGGTTTCATTCAGAGCCAAAGGTGTGAGCTACTTATACTGCCCACCGTGAAAAGTAATTGTTGAGCATTTCAGTCATACTATGAGCCACTCAACATTAAGATATATAAATCAACATTTTTATTCTTTAAGTTGCATCACATTTTGAAATGTGAATGATAGTGTGATTAATCCTTAACAATTTAGTGTAGAATGTCCTACATGCAAAATAAAATTTGGCATCAATATTATTCATGCCTGTTCTCCTGTGATTTCAAAAGTCAATGGTGAGCCTTGCCTGCATGTTCAGCTTTTCAAACTAAGGACAGATGAATGCTTGGATAGACACCTCAGTTTGCAATAT